TGATTTTAAACTTAACTTCAAGGTTCAAGTCGGTACGTATATCTTTTCTTTTAATCTTAATTAGTACTTAAACTTGACTTTTATCACATATTTTGAACTTTGAAGCTCAGGTACTAGTTTCTTTTAAGGGCCCTTTCCAGTGTTTTAGCCATTTTGAATAAGATGGATCGATTAGATAGATAAGGGTGATGGGTAGGTTTAATTTTAATATTTCTCTTTGAAAGACATGTACATGCAGTTAATGCTAATATGAATAGAAGATTTGAATATAAATCTCAGAACGTCATCTATATTCAATCGGCAGTAACATTTGGAGTTAAAGCAAACTAAATCCAACCCTATAAGGCTACCTATAACCCTGCCAGCCAGGGTTCACCATAGTAATTTATGTTAGCAGGGCAGTCGTTAGGCATGTCAGGGTCCACTATGAAGTACATGAATGAAATTAAAACATCAACGGTATTTGTTGATACAGTGCATGTACTTAAATAATGATTGATAATAATCACCCATAAATTAATTTAATAAGAGGAGACACTAGATCTTTTAAGTAAGGTTATATGTTTAAATTCTAACATCGTGAATAAAATAATTATATTAATAGGGTTGTCCCTATAATAGACTTATACAATATTTGATATGGATTACTCAATCAATAGATTAAATATTACCGTGATTTACCTAATATAAAGAATTAATGATAATAATGATTAGATAAAGTCATAGTAATTAATTGAAATCTATTGTATGTTAGAAGGAATGATGAAAATGGAGCCCAAATGGTACTAAAAAAATGAGTACATTATAAGCAAACTAATAATTGAAATCTATTGTATGTTGAGAAAAAGTTGATGTTATGATGATCAGTTCTCACGTGATTTGTATGCACTTGAGATGGAAAACATGCTAATGTCCATACTAATTTCATTGTATTCATAAAAAACAGTTGTATTCATAATTTCCATGGGCTTTTAGGTTAAGTGGGAGCCCATTATATAAACATAATAAGGTGCAAAATCTGAGGTCATGTGCCCTAAAGAAATTGTGGGCTGTTGATTTAATAGTCTTTTTCGATACTACTTTGTAAAAAAAAAAAAACTGAGACAATGGACTTATTTAAGGCGGACTTGTGCCCAAGCACGAGGTCCCATTCAAAATTTGAGAGCTGGACTAAAATATTAGGATTGAAGATGAGCTTGACAAAAATTTTGTCCAAAATTCAAGGCACTAACTCCGTTTAGGTTTTTTTAACACATATATATAAATAATGATTACCGTATAATATTTATTAAAAATATTTTAATTAATTAATAATATATATATATTTTATAGTCTACTTGAATTTTATTTTTCTAATAATAGTTTAGTCACCGAATCAAATTAACTCATGTTATTTTAATGATTTACTATATTAATACAAAATATTAATTTTTAATTTGATCCATGAATTTTTAAAATCCTTATTTTTTCATCCTCTTGAGAAAGTTAAAAACTCTCATCCTTACTTTTCTTAACCAGGGAACTTTGTCGTCTTATGTTTACTGTGATTGCGGGTATAGCGGGCACTGTTATGGTGATTATGGGTGTCACGTACATATACTAACAGTCGCGGAAGACACAGCTATCAGTATATCACTGGCTTTGTCACTGTTGCAGACCGCTTTTTAAATCCATACTCTTAACCAAAGCCAATTGCTTCTTTATTTAAGTGCGACCCAGCCATTAAATACAAATTCTGAACAGAGTCCAGCAACTTCAACGACCCCTCGAAGCTTTTCTACAATGTGTTTGTCAAAAATATCCCATGCAGACCAAGTGTTTGCATTTTTGTCATAGTGAAAAGTTATTAACCAAATCTAGCTTGTTGATTGTTTTCCAAGACTCTGTTGTTTCCTTTTTGCAAACCTCAATCAAGTTTCGAGGTTTCAGCATTCCCAGAATGAAATGTCTCACAGCTGTTTTTGCTGAGTTCAAACGAAAGGAGGAACTTAAGGCCTTGATCGGTGACATAAGAGATAGAAAATTTAACAATGTTAAAGTCAATTTTATGAACCTTTTGTTATGGTGTTCTACTACTGGGGGGGGGGGCTTCAAGAAGTGATGAAAATTTAGGGCTTTATGCTTAAAGGGTATGGCTTTTGAATTTTGTGGATCCTTTTTCAGGTATGATTGATTAAGGGGTGAATCCTAATTTCAGGACTTGTAGGATTTTGATAGAGTAACTTGTAAGGTTAGAGAACGATTTAATGTGGTGAAATAAGAATTTTGACAGAGTAACTTGTAAGGTGCGATAAGTTTAGCCAGCGTCACATGTAGTAATATAATTGACCTATTTATTTACTAACGGTTAAATTTAATAAATTATAACCAAAAAAACCTTTTGTATTTTACAAGGTTTTTCATACCATTAAGCCTTGCTTATTTAAATAAGGCCTTGAAGTTTTATTTTACTTAATTAAGTCCCTACTTTGCAATGCATAATTATATAAGTTAAAACAAATTTAATAATATACATTTAGTTATATGGTTAGATATTATAAAAATATTATAAATTAATAGATTTGTGGTATATTAAAAATAAATGGCTTATTTAAATAAATTACACTTGTTTAAGATCTTTTCAAAATATAATAGTAAATAATTATTAAAAAGATAACCGGACCAACGGTTGACAATGAATGTAAATTCCATTCTGGCCCAGTGGCACAAAAGAGAAAACAGAAAGGGGGGGGGGGCATGCAGTTGACGTCCAAACAAAGATTAGCACATGGGGCTGCAAGCTGAATCAAATCCCCCATAACACAAGCAAGAAATATGGCCATGTGGAAACCAAGATTCAGCTATTCTCTTTTATTTATTTTAGTTAATTTTATACTATTTTCTCTAATTATATTATAGTTATTATTAGAACATATAAATTAGAAGGAAAAGAAGAAGAAGTTGGAGAACATGCATAGATCCACCCCCATTGAAATGGGGTAGACTCCAGCTTCCAATTAATAAAATCGTGTATATAGGGATGGACAGAGAAAGGATTGATAAAGAGATTTTTTTTTTAAATTTCAAATTTGTATATAATTTAAATATTATTTTATATTTTATATTACTAAATTATTTTAATAATTATAATTTTATAAATTTGTTATTTCCAGCCCAAAATTCCTTACGTATGCATGCAAATTAAGGCAGTGAGAATAGTATGAACAGTGTATTCAAACACAGTCAACAATGTAAAAGGTTAAAAAGAGGGATGAAAAAGAACATTGTAGCAGCTATAGTTATTAAAGCTTGTGACGGTCTGAAAACTAAACATTTGACGTTTCTTAGGTGACGAGCCTGCCGGAGCAGGGGGTAAAAAGAAATTGTCTGCTAAAGTTGAAAATAAGTTGTTCTAAAACAAATCATAACTACGTCTAATCAAATAAAACGTCTTTATGTATATTTCTTACACAATCTTAAATTTTGCTTTTACCATGGATTTATGAGAAGCATTTTCTTCTAATCATTGTCCTTCAACAACAACAACGAAAAACCCTAAACCTTAAACTTTAATATCAAATCAATAAGTCAAATGATGAAGTAGGACGTGGAGCTTTTAGTGTGCAGTGCATTTTTCGTTACTAATGCTTCAAACTCAAGTTTTTTAGAATTTTTAACCACTTGAACCAATTAATAAATTCAATTAAGTGTAATAGTTAAAGTTATAACAAATTATATAATATATCGTATCATTTAAGAAGAAGGTTATTTTTGAAGAGAAAAAAAACTGGTACGGAAATAAGCGACTGCATCAGATGGGGCATGGTGGTGAACTGAAAGACAAAAAAGAGGGAGGTGGCAACAGGAGTTATGGTTGGGGTTTTCAAAAACCCTATTCTTATCTCTCTCTGAAATTGAAAGATGGAGACATTTTAGAGTTGCAGAGAGGAAAAGAAAGGAGCGAAACTGATGAAAGGGGGTTTGGTCCTGGTGCACGATAGGTGTTGGTGGGTTAGGTAGCAACCCCTGACCCCGACCCCCCTCTTCCTCTTGGCCCCATCCTCCTCCTCTCTCTCTCTCTTTACATGCATTTCCAACTCATTTCTCTTTTTCTTTTAACTCAACCATGACATCTTTCACATACACCCCCCCCCCCAAAGAAACCGTACATCTTTTTTTATTTCTTTGAAACGATCACATTTCTTCATGCATATTAGTGTTGTTATTTTTTTATTCTTTCAAAATAACCCACTCCACATTTATATATATATATTAGGAACCAATCAAGCTTCTTGAAAGTTGCTTCCCATCCTGAAAATATTATGTCTAAAGACAAGTTTCTTTATTCAGAAAACACCACTATTTGTTACTAAAGTATGAAAAAAGGGGGTAGTACCAGGAAAATGACCCTCAAATTATTGGAATCACTCCATGAAATTGTTTTCAGAGTCACCACATTACCAGGCTTAATTTAGTTAGCAGCCACCCTTCCTCCTATCTATGCCTATGCCCTTCCTTTTTCTTTTCTCGCTTTTGTCCTCAATATGCAAATGGGTTGTTTGTTTCATCATATTACTCAATAAAAATAATTCATGTATTTTCTTCCTTTTATTGTCAAATCAATTTTAAAAGGAAAATTGTCAGCTTTTCCCTCCCGGATGCCAATAGGCAATAGCACAAGATCTTGTTCTAGATAATACTTCAACATTAGGATAATACTTCTATATAATAATCTCAACTATTTGGACAATAAATATTCAAACACTATTATGTTAAAACTCGAGATATCTAACGATAAGAATATTTATTTAATCACTAAGGTCACTAATCTCATACAAAGAGCAATTTGAAATTTAAATAATATTTTATGTACATACAATTAACTCAAAATATATAAAATAAACCCATCTTCGTATAAAGAGGCTAAATGAAATCTCTCTCTTAAATTGATAGAAATTGAAATAGTACAAAATTAAATTTTAGAGCTTTTGTTCCTAGAAGCTAAAGGTTGAAGTTGATCAGGTATATAAGCTACCTATTTTCCACAAATCTGAGCATCATCTTCAAATTCAAGAAATTCCAGTTTTCCTTTCAGTTTGATATACATCAGATCTCTAGTTTGCTTCTCTTTCATTAAACAGCAAATTTCATGCTCCATGTCTTGTCATGGGATGGCTTTTTTCCCAGCAAATTTCATGCCCCAAGTCCAACCTCCTTATGATCACGAAGATCATCAACGCCCCACTAATTCCTTCAATCAAATTATCCCTTCTTGCATGGCTCCCCAGGACTTTCACGGTACTACTCCATTTTTCTTCTTGCTTTCATCTGATGATCTAGTTAATCTGATTCCTGGTTTCGATTTTCTGGGTCCATTACCACAGGTCCCCAGGACTTTCATGGTACTACTCCATTTTTCTTCTTGCTTTCATCTGATGATCTAGTTTAATCTGATTCCTGGTTTTAATTTTCTGGGTCCATTACCACAGGTGTTGCATCGTTTATGGGGAAGAGTTCAGTGCCATTTCCAGGGATAGATGTGTGTGAAGAAGCGAACGGTGAGGATGATTTATCAGATGACGGTTCACAGGCAGGAGAAAAGAAGAGGAGGCTTAACATGGAACAAGTGAAGACATTGGAGAAGAACTTCGAGTTAAGCAACAAGCTCGAGCCCGAGAGGAAAATGCAGCTGGCTAGAGCTCTTGGACTGCAACCCAGACAGATTGCTATTTGGTTTCAGAACAGAAGAGCCCGATGGAAAACCAAACAATTGGAGAAAGATTATGATCTCCTTAAGAGACAGTACCAAGTGATCAAAGCTGATAATGACGCACTTCAAGCTCAGAACAAAAAATTCCACGCAGAGGTAATCTATTTATCATAATTCTTCGTCTTTTATAATTTGATTACTTCATAAGTTAATTAATGTGGTTGGTGTGCAAGTAGATAATGACACTGAAAAGCAGAGACGGAGCAAGTGAATGTATCAACCTGAACAAAGAAACCGAAGGCTGTAGCAGCAATAGAAGCGACAATAGCTCTGATGTGAAGTTGGATATGTCGGTATCGGCAAACGAGAGGCCGCTAACGACACTAGTGTTCCGAGCTGCATCGTCGAATTCGAGCCACGATGATCATCTTAATCAGCCACCTCAAATGGTTAAAGAAGAAAGCCTCATCACCAACATGTTCTGCACCATGGAGGATCAAACCGGGTTCTGGCCATGGCTCGACCACCAACAACATCATTTCAATTGAAGTTTGTTTTTGAAATCAAGAGAGAGATGTTTGCTAAGTAAATTGCGGTGCAGATTGGTTTGCAGCAGCTCTAGCATGGGCCATGAAAGAATATAGAAAGGTGATTCTCTTTAGCTACAAACTTTTAATTATTTTTTCTTTTTTTCTTCTTCTTCTTGCTTTGAAATCTTGTGTTTTCGTACTGTGGTGTGCATTGAAGAGAGTCCCTTGTAATGATCGTTTTTCTTTTTCTTTTCCCTAATTTCATCAGTAATTTATCAGTAGTAAGGGTAAACGCCAAAATATATAATCCCAAGTTGATATCTTAATTTAAAAATTTATATGCAAGAAAAAGGAGAGTATCCAACACACATTCCAAGGGGAGAAGATGACAAGCATGTCATGAAGAGTGGAAGCAAACAAGGGGAGCGTCGCTTTCCTGATTACAACACTTCACATATCCACCCATTTCTCCTTTACTTAATTTACGAAAATTTGAAATGGAAATATAAGATTTAAAATTTAAAATCAAATTCATTTAAAAATGATAACACATTAGTTGATAGTTCATGTTTAAAATTTAATAAAAGAAAATAATAAAAGTATTCAGATTAAACATAATATATTTTCTTAAAAAATTAGTATGGGCATATTTAAACACGATCCTTACATTATATTTATAAATACGGGTGGTATGACTAGAATCATAAGAATTTGATTGAGTGATATACATAAAATTTTAAATAACGAAAAAAATTTATCAATACAATAACCAAATTATATAAGAGTATAAAATTTTCAAAGAAATAATCATCCCGATGTATCTTCTTTAATTTATTACTAGTTAAATTTAATTAAACTAAACATACATATATCATATATTGTGTTACATTACTTTTTAAAGATAAATCATCACGATCCAATTCGACCCCATGTTCTATCCTAAGAAAATAGATCGAGTTGCAAAAACTGAAATTATTCTTTTTAAATATTCAATTATTACTTAACATTTTATCATCTTCAAGCTTACGTATTTTGGGCATTAGCACAATCCTAGTACATTACTATAAGCATTTGAAATGAGTAAAAATAGATTAAAATAAAAAATTATGTTGGAATTTATGATCAAATTTTTATAAGCTCGGGTTTGAAAAATTCATGATATAAAATATTTGGTAAAGAAATAAATAGAGAGAAAAAAAAATGATTAGTAGAGGTTCTTTGGATATTAAGTTAGAGACTATAGTCCGCCATTGATTTTGTTGGGGATGCATGAACGAAGCCCTCTTTATATGGTACAGTTTTGTCAACCACTGTCATCACCTCAGTAGAATCCAACTCCAACATAGTCCTATTTTCACAACGCTTTGATGAATCAGTCTCCTTTCCTAACCCTAGTTCATCCATTTCCTTTTTCCACTTCACTAAACCCATCTCTCATTTTTGGTCCCATTTCTTCTTCTTCTTTTCAATGACAGATTCAAAGTAATTGTCATTGGCATCCCAAAGCAATAAGTAGATATTGATGTAAATTAATGTGTTAGGCAACCGATTATCTTACTGTCTGGTAGCTAACCTCTGATAATATTCCTCAATCCATTATCATATAGGCACCACGCATTGATTGTAAAGTAATACATTAAGCCAATCTTTAATCATGACTGAAACAAGATACTCAACCTAGTCAGCCAAAGAAACCCTGATTTGACACAAACAAGTTAATGGTGTAAACGCGACATTTTGTTTATTAGTTTAAGGGAAAAAATGATTATTCAATTATAATATAAATTTTTTATTATGGGATCATGTGAAGAGATTTTAGATAATCTTCTAACAACATGCAGGCTGCAACTACCGACATTTGGTGAGTAGAGTTTTAAAACAACATTTATATTTGATGTATACATGTTCTCGGTGTCTAAATTTACATACCGATAATAAATTTATATACTATTAATGTATTAAATATAAAATATTTTGTAACAAAATGTAAAGCAAAAATGATTAAGAAATAAATAGTGGAGATAAAGTTTGTTTAGTGGGCACATGCATGCTATGGATGGTGAGAATTCCTTTTGAGTAAGGAGTTTAATATATGTATGCGGGAAGCTAGATAGCATGTGAGCAGCCAAAGCATATAAGGAGGATGAGATTAATTATTCTATTAAATTGTGATTTGTAACATGGAATTGGGCTGTGTCAACTGCTTAAACCAATATTTTAAGCACCAAGTTCTGAGTTATTTAATGGAAAACAACTAGATTTGGAAAGCTTTGTCTACCTATTCACAACAATAAATAAACAATTTTTTTATTAAGGTCGAGGTTGATTCTGATTAAGTATTCTTTCGTGCATTTGATCTCTTTTTGCATGTCATTTGAAGCAACGAGGAATCTCTTTTACTCTTAACCTTAAAAGGTTTATATTTGCAGTATATATCTTAATTTCTAAAAACACAATTTTAAAAAAAATATATATAATTCGTATTATGACATTTTATTTGAAATAAATTGAGGAGAGTTTTTTATATATTAAAATTTTATAATATTTGATCTAATTAATAAATTAAATATAAATGGTTATAAAAGAAACCAATGATAACATGTTAAATGAAAAAGGTTGAAGTGTGGCAGGTGAGGGCCCCTTATGGGTTGCTTGGGTAAACGAGTACGCATTTAAGGGTGTGGACTATTTGCATGTGGAGTGTAAACCCCATTATAGTTGGACTTTGAGGAAATTGTTGAATTTGAGAGCTAAGGCAATGGAGTTGTTTGGTGTTGATGTCAATTGGACGTTGGTAAACAACATATGGATTTGGGATAGGGTAAGGGAGGAAAAGGCTCGTGTGCAGTGACATAGACTGTTTTGGTTTCCTCTCCATGTTCCTAAACACTCGATTATTGCTTGGATGATAACTTTGGACTTACAGATGGTATGTGTGTTTTGTGTGGTGTTGGTGCTGAGACTAGGAATCACCTCTTTATGGAGTGTTCCTTTGCCTGTCATTTTGGGGTCAGGTTCTGGCTTTGTGTTGCCTGCAACAGGAGCATTTTTGTTGCGAGGATGCTATGAAGTGGGTAGTCGAGAGTCTGAAAGGTACATCTCTAATTGTTTGTATTTTGAAGCTTGCTTGGTTGGGTTTTTTCTTATATAGTATATGGATGGAAAGGAATCATAGGCTGTTTAGGGGGGGTTAATCGCACAGTTGAGGAAATTGTTAGCTATATCAGAGAAGTGATTAGTATTCGTTTACAAAATTGCTGTATAAACCAATTTGATAAGGTGAATTCAAATCTATGAACAACTTGGGTGATCCAGTGATGGTCCTCTCTTCGTTTGTATAGTTGCAGTTTTGCATACTGTTTGTATAGTTACAGTTTTGCTGCATACTTTTTGGATTAATACAACTGAATTATTCAAAAAAAAAAAAACGTTGAAGTGTTTGACTTGTTCAGCCCTAAACAAGTCCAAAGCCCAAGGAGAGAAGAAGAAGATAGGGCCCTATATGTATATATAACCATGGTTTTCAAAATCGAACCGATCAGCGAACCGGCCGTGCTACAGATTCACTGGTTCAACCGGTCGAATCGGTTATACCGGTCGTAAGAACCGGACGACGTCATAATTATTTACAAAAGTAAATAAAAATACAAACAAAAAATTAATAAAAAATAAAAAAATTTAGGTTGAACCGGTTCACGGTTCGGTCCGGTTCTAGCGGTTCAAAGCCGGTTCGAACGGTTCCTTGCGATTCACTAGAATCGGTTCAATCGGGTTAGAATGGACCGGACCAGATAGCGGTTCCCGGTTAAACCAGCCGATCCAGTCTGGTTTTCAAAACACTGTATATAACTGGTATTGAATATCTAAAGTGGAGATTAGATGACCAACTAAATTAATGATTTTGATGGTAAATGAAATTTTTATTTTATTTCAGGTTTCGAGATCAAGTATCATGAATATCAGGAGTTTAAATCTTATTATATTCACTCAAATGTTCCTCTTAATTATATAATTATTTTTTTAAAATATTTTTTGAGTTATACATAAATAAATTTTATTTTTTATAAGATTTTATAAGATTAATTTAATTTAATTTTATAAAAATTTAGTGAAATAAAATTAGAAAGACGTTTGGAGTTTAAGATAACTAGAGGCAAATATATAAATAAAAATTTGTGCAGGATAAACGAGTTTATATTTATTTAAATAAAAATCATGTTAAATTCTAGATAAAAAATAATATGATATGAATTTAAATTTTTAAAATACTTTTTTAAAAAAATTAAATAAACCCTTGAACTTAAAAAAATTAATATAACTCTCAAACTCGATAAAAAAATCAATTTAGCCCATCTGTCAATATCGTAACAGTCAACGACGAAAACCATTGATCAAAGGGTCCCATTGAGTGTAAAAAATAATTCAAAGTTCATATTGTTTTTTAAGTACAATATTCTGGTATACCCTTTTTGCCTTAAATTATTTGAGTCTTGATTGTTGATATTTTATCATCAAATTAAAATGGTGTGAATAATTTTTTTAATTTGAATCATGCCATTATCATTTTGAGATGTTTTTTTTTTTTAATTTTTTTATCAAATAAAGCTAAGGTGTAGTGAGGTTCACTGAATCCGGCCGTGATAAACTAAATCATAAATCCTGTTGGTTATTACATGAGACGTTGACTTTCCATTTTTTTAGCTTACCAAAACGCTTCATCTACCTCTAACGTAAGAAAAAGAAATCTGAAACAACCTTACTTTTTCACCACCTTTCATATGCGTTCCCCCCCCCCCCACCTGCCATTTACAATCATAGTTGTGGATGCAGTTGCAGTCTTGGTCGCGGGTGATGGATGTTGTGGACATGATAATTCTGAAAACCATTACGATACAACTCTGTTGGCTGCAACTTTACAATCAAAGAATGATAATCTTTCCGAGCTTTCAAAACGTTACAGAGAATGTTCTTTCCCACCATTTCCAAAGCGTTTTAAGAATCATATTATACCGGGTGCAGGGTCCTCGTTTCAACATGAAACGTCAGGCATGCATTCATAAAACTAAAACAGAATAATTTTTTGACCAATTTCGGTTGTGTAACTGTTCAATAATCAGATAAGCAGCTAGAAATCAGTCACTTTAACGCTTATAATGCGTGCTTCAATCAGGTATCATGATACTC